CTCCGTGGCATCCCAACACTTACTCCATTCACACACAGAAGAAGGTAATGGCAAACCACTTCTGGATCATCTGCCAAGAACGTATATGAACAGGTCCCAGTCCGAGAAAAGGATGGAAGGATCCTGTTCATATGGACCTGTCCTCAGACAGGACACTAAATAATAAAAATAATAATAATATCCTGAACGTAGAGTGTAACTCTTAGTGCATCGCCTGCTTGAATTCTACGTCATAACTAACGCACAAACGTCCACCAGCGGAGTTTTTTTTTCGTACGAGCGGATCGCTGCGCAACTGTCAGCAAAGTTGCAACAACCGATGAAACAACCTACAATTGCACTGGCTTCGAGCGATAAAAATGACTGCCTGGGGACAAGACGGAAAAAGCCAGCAATTCGTAGGTCCCCCTGAAGACCAGGACAACATTTCAAACGAACAGGCTGTGGACCGACGAATCGAAAGCCAGGATTTCCGCTTCACGACGTAGTGCAAAATTTCAAATCTAATTTCCTCTCAATATGCACTACTGAGAACACAATGAACTTGAGGTCACACGATTAATGACACGCGCTCAGATGTATGTACTTATTTGTCCTGTGGCACGAAAGACACTGTAAATTGTTCATTATTATTTAATATTTGCTCTAACAGCATTAAAAATAAACCAGAATTTAAAAAAAATTGTTATTAATGACATCCAAATTAACTACGTATAATGTTTTGTGATATTTTATTAATAATAACGATTCGAATTCAACAATTTAAATTGTTTTTAAACTTTACCTCAACGGCCTAACCTGGAATTATATATTAATACACTGAATATTAATTTACACAAAACACGCGAAACAAAAACAAAATTATTATTATTATTACATGTAACAATAACCCATATTACGTTAAATAAAGTATATCGCTCTGAAAACTGGACATAACGTAATATCAATCAATATTTTAACGGAATATACACATCTGAATATTCCTTCGTAAGAATAAATGTGTTTTCGATTCTGAGGCAAACATTTCTTGTGTTACGATGACAAATGACAAAGACCTTATTTACTGAAACTATAAGAAAAACTGAAATTCAAAGGGCTGTCTGTACGTCCGTTCGCTGTCTGTGGAGTTTCAATAAGATTTGGCTATGCATTCCAAAACTGCCATAACGGGAAATCTTAAAAGAAGAAATATTTTGGTTCTGCTCGAAGAAGTGACTCGGTTAAGAATTTTCTGGTTAGGTTAGGTTACTATGGCTTTTTATATTAAAAATCAGAGGTCAAATTGTACGGAACGCGACAGAACTGTTTGCTATGCGTGTATTTCCAATTTATTTGTAGTTTTATACAGCCCCGCCACACACACCGAGATAAAAGCACTTTAAAGACGAAGGCAGGTGTCAGAAATTTGTTCTAGAATTTCTTCTGATAAGATAAAAACCACGTTTTACTTGAAATGAACAGATTATTTTGACTGAATAACGAAGTTGAAGTGTACGTCTTCATTACAAGAGATGAGGCAGACGACCTTGATTAAGATCCAGGGCGGATGGCACAAAAGAACACTTCCGTGACCCAGGAGTTTATCACGGGATCTATTTCAGAAGACTCATTACGGGGACGGGCTCACGGGAGACGCGGAGCGTAGGGACGCTTCGGGATCGGCGCCCTACTGAACTGAATAAACGTGAAATGCGAAGCCACGGGGGCTGACGGCAACCTGCGAACACGCAATCGGGCAAGGATGTTCGCGTTAAACAGCAGTTATTTTTTGAAACTGCAATTACGTCTCTCGTACATTAAGTCAAGGAAGTTTTTCTCACACACGCAGTTTGCCCTAAAGCTGTTAATGTTAACATCGTATTCCCGACCTCTACACTGCGGTCCTCTTGTGTTCCTGAGAGTTTATACAGGCTACACGTTGGGGTCATTAATGATGATGATGATGATTACATAAGTAACAACATGCGCCTAGAAGCTGCTCGAAGCAGTTAACAAGATCTTGTGTACATAAACCAATTCGGGGTGTTTAAGTAGCGCACTGTGGCTGGTGTGAAAATAACACTACATGTTCATCTCAGTGGTATTAAAAGCGACAAAACTTGGTATTTATCTAAACCTTATCAAACAGGATTTGAAGTTTCGGGAAAGGTTAGCATGGGACTTGGGCAATGACAATCCTAAATAATATTGTAATTAAATAACGGGTTGTCCACAACCGGACTTTATCCTCAGCAACGTAATGCAAGACACACCAATTCTTTTGAGAATCATTTTAATATTATCCAGGCAGTCAGATATTCGTACTGAAATTTTGTATGCATTTCTCGTCTCCCTACGTTTCCGTCGGTTTAATCGTCACTGATTTGATCACTTTAATAATATCTGTTTAACAGTTTGTACTGTAAAATGTTTATGAGCTAAATAATATCGAGCAGCCATGATTCGTAGTTTCAGACCGAACTATTAACATTTTGGAAAGTCATAATAACCTGAAAAGAACAGAAATACAAAATTAACACGCATTTTTCAGCGTTACCTTCGTCTGATCATTGCGGTTTACTATTGTGGAAGGAATTATTTATTTATATTATTTATTTAGTGTTCTGTCTGACGACAGGTCCATATGAACAGCATCCTTCCATCCTTTTCTCGGACTGGGACCTGTTCATATACGTTCTTGGCAGATGATCCAGAAGTGGTTTGCCATTGCCTTCTTCTGTGTGTGAATGGAGTAAGTGTTGGGATGCCACGGAGGAAAACTCCGTGCTGCCTAGACCACGGCCTTGCCCAACACAAGTTATAAATTCGGGCACCGCCGGGAATCGAACCCGAGACCCCAGGATTACAAGGCCAGCGTTCTAACCGCTAGACCACCGTGGCTATGGAAGGAATTAGCAGAAAGTAATTTGGAATGAAACTGCATCTTATAACGGGACGAGAGATAAATCAGTTCTTGATCCCCAAAATAATGATCTGTCGGGTTTTCATCACCATGCCATGCGGTAATTAAACAATCGATCGCGTCAATCATATATTAACTGCGGTCGGTGATGATCGCGGGCGAGCACAGAATGTGACGGGGTCGCAGAGTGAAAGCCATCTCGGGTTACCCCAGGACAAAACCGGCGAAGCAGATGAATCTATAATTCAGAGACGTCGAGATCTAGGCTGTGGGAAACTCGCAGAGGAGTGGCGCGGACAGAAATACCCGTGTTCCTCCGGGGCTTATAAAATATTGCAGAACCGAAGAAGTAAGACCAGACGCCAGGTTGTTGGAGCAATGGAAATGCTACAGTCGGTTACAACATTTGTAATACGCGTACGAATTCTACATTTTTGGGGGGAAAACTGGCTCTCCGGTCGCCATGTTGTAAATTTCCATTTGATATTAAGCTAAGGGCACATGTTCGGTACACAGTCCATTAAACGAAACGATCAGATTTAAAATTATTATCGTTCCCCGGTATCCGTCCTTGTTTCATAAAACTTTAACATTTCTGTACTCTGCATATTTCAGTATAATAGCGTATGAAATCTGCTGTCTACTTCGAAGTGTCTGAGATTCTCACTAGCAGCGAGAATAACTATGGCTGTCTTTCGGGTTGTAGCGCCATGTTACTGTGGTACAAGTCTACCGACGTTTCAAAGGTAACTGGTGCCTCCATCATCAGGACGTCAGTTTGATGGAAGGGCTTTAAAATAAAGGAGAGAGGAGACTAGATTATGCATGTTTTTAACTGTTTTGTCTGAAATTGTTTGTAGAATCCTATCCGGAGACTGCTATTAATTTTACGTAGGAATGTACCTTAACACTGCAGTACATTTTACTAGAATTTCGAATGAAATACCGAACGTGGCGGTAAAATTGTTAGAATTCTGGAGGTCCAGGTTTTAAACATCGGCACGGAGACAGGGAATACTAACTGAAGTTCCTCGTGGGTCGATCTATTCGTCGAAGGCTGATCCGCCACTGGTGACAGGGGAATGCAAATACGTAGAGGAGGGGGGGGGGTGTGTGAGTTCCGTCATAAGTGGGACAGACAGTGAATTAAGCGGTCCCTGTGCCGGCCGACGTCTGCAAAGGAGCGTATCCGACGCTTGTAATCTTCTGTCTCCTCCTTGACGCCCTGCACTCAAATGTCTTCGCAGATGTGGGGTGTTGAGGAGAATTTACGGAACCATGAGAGGGGAATAAGGGGGATGTGCACTGAGCATCTCCGTAATTGCAATTCACCAGATGTTATTAGAACGAAGAAATCAATGGAGACAGAGCTCATACAACCACTGAAAAATGTCAACAGGATAACATTAAGGAAGGAGACCATTTGTGAAATGTAGATACAGTTTAAAGGATAATATTAAAATGAAACTAATCATTTATATTATCACTTTATTATTGGCGAGGCTAAGAACTGAGAGGTAGGTAGACAAATATTTTCAGTGAGTTTTTGTCCACGTGATGATTTAGATGTTCATTGACAGAGCGTTGGCTTAAAACAGTTCTGCCCCCCAAATGACAATGATAGTGGCCTGGTACAGTACAACTTATGAAGCCTCAGACTTTGTAGTTTTATCCACGTTCATGCTACTTTCTTATTTTATAACATCTGAACTTCAGTTCTTTGCTGTCGAAGTTTCTCAAAAAGGTCTTTACGTCAGGGCGAGTGACCAAGAGTGGACGACGGACATCACACAACAGGAGACAGCGAGTAAACATAGAAGTTGAATAAATAAAAGGAACGGAAGAAACGGTACGTTTTTGTTTAAGACCGGAGCGAAACGTAGGCCGCCGATCTGCCTTCGTGAATTTTACAGAACTGTTGCAAAGGAACAAAGTTTTTTCCATTCAGTGCAGAAAATTTTGGGGCACAAAGCAGCAGAATGAATGAGACAGTAAAGTTTTTGTGCGCTGGGGGACGGGAATTCACGTGGCGAGCACAAGGTGGGCCGAGAAGTTAACGAAGATGGATCGTGGTGAATCCTGCAATGTCGCACGTCGGTCTCCTCTCTCAGGGCGGGGCGGACAAAACACTTCGATTCCGACAAACTGATTTCATAAATACGACGAAGAAAAGGTCTCTCCGTGATTCGCGGCAATTTATAATAGGATGGTTTCCTCTATAAGAGGGAAAGCAGACGAGTTAAAAATCCGAGCAGACAATTATGACCCTGAGACTGGCGTAATCCATTGTACGTCCTTGTGATTACTTTTCGCGAAACGCTTAAATCTGAAAATGGCGCCACCCAACATTAATACTGGAAACAACACGCATTTCAGATCGCAGTCTATTCTGACGAAGGCCAGTGAGGGCGTTAATGTCCTTGGCTAACGTAACACGCGTTCTGTTAGACGAATAGTTCCTTTTCTCGCCACACAATCATTCGCCTTGGTTGCGATTCCCTGTAAGGTATAAGTAAGCACTAATGCTTCGCGCACCGCGTATATGGGAACAAAAGTCCGAAATCACATACTCAGAAAATCTTAATTCCTCCTTCAGCGTCTATAATACTTATCAATATTCATTGTACACATGATAACTGAAAGGTTAAATTATCTTCAAAATTACGCTGTATCGCATTTAAAATCTTACTAAAAGATACGCTTGTATAACGTGAAACGAACACAGATCGCTGTAGATGCGGGAAATTTTAATTATACTCACGCAGGACAGCGGGCAAAATGTCTTCCCACCGGTCTCCTGTCACAGGCAACGGATGAACTTTTACCTGCAAAGAAAGAGTAATTATGTCAGATAAGTCAATACTTGTACCACGTTATTGACTAGAATCTGAAAAAATATGATGGAAAACACTTCGAAAAAAAAAAACATTATGGTAAGATCAAATCACATTCTTCGAAAATCACCAAAGGGGTCTTATGTGTGCAGGGTTACCGTTCAAGAATACCGAATTTCAAATACAAAAACTTATTGAATATGATCTGATAGACGCACAAGACAGACTATGATTCGCTAACGAGTGCAATATACTTCATTTGTGGCTTGGCTAGGCGTATGTATCTATTAATTCGATTAATTGTCTGATGTTCACTCCAGCGTACTTTTCATCGCAAAAAGAATAACGCAACGCATCTGGATATGCCAGGAAATGGGATCTCACGTTCCCCGAGGCCAGTCCGTCCGTCCGTCGCCGTGGCGACGATAAATCCAGAAGTGCGTCCCCAGCACAAAATCTCAGAACACAACGCAGACGTCTGGCGGCAACACAATCCTTGCCCCAGAAACAGCAACCCGCAGTTCGTGAGCAGCGCCCGATATTTTGACAACTTCCACGTCGACAATTCGGACTAAGCGCCAAACGGATCTCAGGCTTCGTCAGTCCGTACTCAAAACTAGCTGAAATTGAGCCAAAAAAATTTTCGTGAAATTTTTTTCGAAAAGTACTATGTCTGTGTTTGTCGGCGCACAAACCGAATTTCGTGGTAAAGTTCTTAGAACTACTGCTTCGTATTCGGGAGGTCCCTGGTTAAAACCTCGGCCCGGAGACCGGCTAACGTAACTGATGTTTTTCGTGCGTTTCCTCAGTACCTCCAGGTAAATGTCAGAATAGTACCTTAAATTAGGACACGAACGCTTCCTTCCAGATCCTTTCCAATTCACTGTCACCCTCTCATTCGATGCTATATAGTCTAAGCTACTTAAATAGCGTAGTAAAATAGGCTATGAATTATTTAATTAATTATTTACGAGTAGCCATACGAGGGGTTTGAGTTTTAAAATTAATATGTCGCTCCAGAGAAACGTTCTTAATCATTTTATTAAAAAATTTGTTTGGAGTCTGATGTACATTTATTCAGCAGGGTTCCCTCTTTCGACGCTAGCAAATTCGTAGGTTCTTACGAGTACGGTAAGACGTGTGTACTATGAAACAAATAAATAAATTCTTCAGTTGCTGCTCACAAATGCTCATGTGATCACAATTAGCATCGCACAGCGCCGAAAATCTCTTAACTTTCTTTCCAGTCTGTACTCTAGCAGCTATAAACACTGAAGTCTATCGATAGACCTGTTTTCAATGACAATAGTTTATCCTTCAGGAGACTGGGGTCATGATGGCGAGACGCATGGGTGTGGCAAATCCACTTCATGATTGTTGCTATTATTCCTCTTTGTATAAAATTAATGCTCATAGCGCCAAGACTTAAATTGCCTGATTGTAAACGTTTGTAACCTTAAAGACTTTCGATTAGGTAACAGCATTTATAAGTCATTCCTGCGTAAAGAGCGAGGCAATTCCATAGAAACAGTCGCGAAAACGCAGTTGCGTCTAAAACTGACGCCTGTGTTCTTAAGCGGCAGATTCAGCCGCCTCAAAATCGTTTAATGCATCAAGCGATCATTATGTCACACTGTCCGTAAATAATATGAAAGAAAAACGTCGCTGCCTTTCAATCTTTGAACCTCAGCACGAAAAAGGAAATATTACTACAACAGCAACAAAATATCTCCGCAAGGATCAGAATAGTCACGGCCAACGTTCGTCCCGAGGCCAAGCCATTTCTGTGACCTCACCCGGGCGAGTCGTCCGAGAGACGCAGCTTACACTGGACGCAAAATATCCGCGGGCTTGGGCTACGTCACAATAATACGGTAGGAGAACATACTTCCTACAACTAGTGAAATGAATAACACACGCACAAAAGTCTCTGGTAAGGGATTACTGAGGAAACGTCTTAACTATTGAAGTAGGATAACTGATTATTATAGCTGTCTTCTGGGTTGCAGTGCCGTGTAGTCTGGTAGACGTTCACCGACGTTTCGTACTCACAACCGTCAGAACCTCAAATCCTACTTACTGATGTATAATTGACACCCCTGTCTTGGGTATTAGATTGTACAAACACGAATTACCAGGTATTTGCATTGCAAGCCTTGAACCTATGAAAACAGGATAATAAAAGAATCCTTACACGGAGCGTGTGTCGTGGTTTGGTTATGAGGGTCCCGCAACCGACCATGAACCTCATTTAGCAGGTTCTAAAAATACGCAACGTAATCTATCCTGGCGAATAAGGCGTGTTCAGTGCACAGCAAATGCGGCTCCTTGGGGACAGTGCAGTTGTTGCTAGTCCATGAATAATTAGACACGAACGCATGGTAAGGAGTTGTGTCCCTCTTGCAGAAAACGAGACTGGAAATGGATAGTCTAATGGATAACACATATTTCTTTTTCCAAATCTGGTATCTGTGAATTGCCTAATTAACTTTCAATATAATTCAATTCAATTAGAAACCTGTTTCTGCAACAGAATTAATGATACCACTTAACCAAGGTACGACTTCTTTTTAATAAAATGCAAAACGCTTTATTTAAGATTTCTGTGAAGTGTTTTTTTTATTAATCCGACGGCCGAGTTATGTTCATTCCGACCCACAAAACCAAACGCGCCACGTAATTTCGGAACACGCCAAAATACACAGGCAGACCCAGAGGGCACGTTTACTCCGCTCGCTTCGTGCAAAGACTCGGGTTTGCTAATATTCGAAGGTAACACAGCGGTGAAACGGAAGGTGATTATGAATGATACATCAGAGGACGCGGGGAGATATCGTCGTGGCATATTTTAATTTTCTTCTATTGGCGATCTTCGTAGGAAGAACTGAAGGAGACGACAAATATCAGAATCGCGCAACAAAACATCAAAGGAAGAAACTACTTCGAAAAAACTAAGTATAGATGCAAGGATAATATTAAAAATACATTATTTGAGCTTAAGTGAGCGGTCTAGATTGAATTGGGTTAGTAGCTTAGTAGCTGCAATAATGGACTTTCAAGTTGCAGAAGAAAGGGCAATGAACAGCTGAGCTACTGTCACATTTTCAGAGAGTTCTATGACCTATGGAATTTTCTAGTCAAGGCATGAAGACTCCGAGCCTAGAAATTAACCAGAATCAGCCTTCGAACATGCAACAACGACGCCCATCACTGATATAAGTCTGGTCATTTGAACGCATTTTGGTGCAGACTTAAGCAGCGCCCAAACGCGGAGCCTCGTTACGTCAGACACTTAATTACCGAGAATTATTTACAATCTCTTGACTCCTGGCTCAAAATCCGGGAAACTCCGGTTCGTATCTCATTATCAAATACCAGCTATCGATATATATTTGTAATATTACGCAAAGTTTCGTCACAAAATGTCGAACAATATATTAGCAGCCCACGGACACTTCGCCCTTTACAAGTCACTATTCAAAATATTTCTCTTAATTTCTCGCCATAAAACAATCAGTTGATACGGTGTTGATAAATAAATAAATAAATCAGCGACTGTGTGAGTGGCTTGTAGCAAGATCATGTTCTAATTACGTCGTAATGGGGCCAGATTATGGAGGTGTTCGCTCTGCATCCACGGCTGCAACGTGTGGTTTGCCTTGACAGGGTTCGCTCCCGTGTTCGACACCGGATGACGCTCTAATGGCTTCCGTCTGGGTCCTGCATTACTAGCACGTGGTATGGTTCATTTGACCGACCACAGCCCGTCAGGGATTGGACTGATGCATTCGAAGATTATTTAACAACGGTCTATCAGATGCGTAATTAGCGATTATAATTAGAAAGTCACGGCAAATGGCGTAACCACTGCCAGAGAACAGTTTCCATGGCAACGAACAGACAGAACCAACCATACGATGTTTCTTTCTTACAGTAATTACGCAGACAACTTTTAGCACCACAGGTAGCAGGTAATACAACTTCTGTGATGTTATATCGGAACAACGATTCGGATAAACATGCTGTCTTCAGGGATGAAACGGCGATGCTAAAACGTGGAGGGGATTGTGTACAGCGAAGAGTTTAAAAGATTAATTTCTTCGGAATTAATTGTGAAACTAGGACGAACTGACGCAAGTTGAAGTCTACGTAAGTTTAATAAAACTAACTTCCAGGGGAGCTAGAATTATAAGCCCTATGAACAGATCCTAGAGCCCTACACCAGGTATGCATCCCCGTTATGATACGTGTAACATTTAAAAATAATAAGGAGAGCCAGAAATGTTGCTGGCGAAGAAGGTAATCATTTTATCGAACGGAGCGTAACTGAATCACTCAGCTGTAAAACTCAGGTATGACGTGCACCAACCGTAAACCATAAGGTAGTAATTAATATTACGTACATACACATTATCTCGCTGTGATCAATTCGCTGAAGTTTGTACGACCAGATATCCTAAAACACGTTCATATGTTTGTAGAGTCCGTCAGAATGTAGTAACGCCGCTCAGGTTGATTAAATTTTCATTAAATTTAGTATAGTAGTACATGCTAAAACAAATTGGAAGAATCTAATTTTTATTGAAAAAAATATCAACATTGACGATCATGAATAATTTATCTATTACGTAAGAACCTCACGGGATTTCGTATTTTCTCGTCTATCCGTGGAAGACTGTATGCCGGGTAACTACACATGGATTGATAGTGCCCAAGGCAATATTTTAATCCGTGTTTACTGATTCTTGTTACTAGGC